ACGACAATTTAGAACACTCTGGTAATCGATAAACTCGCATTTGAACGGGATAAAGACAAAAAAAAGTGTTGTATGCGCTTCTATGCCAAAACGATGGTAATACAAGGTCTCGGAGTGAAAACTTAATTGACCTGGAAACCACAGATGGCGCAGGGGGTCCCTCTGCAGTCAATTAGTGCCCCAGAAAGCACGAATCCAGAGGATTTCTGGTGTTTTACTTCGATTTCTTGATATTTATTATACGAAAACGACAGGTGGAGTATGCCATTCGGTACAATACCCAATACAATTCGACCCAGCTGTCGATATAAAAACCAACGTCGGCAACGTAGGCATTTAGAAAAATCCCCTTTATCGACGTCGATCAAGTTCCTCGAGGTGTTTCAGTTAACTTTAGTCAAAAGTAATGCAGGCATCCAGGAGATTGGCGGTAACTAATTCCATCCTTCGTTCCCAGATACGGATTCGGACCTCGAGCCGGCGGATTTGCGGCTCCGAGGGTCATCCACGCAAAGGAACCTCGCCATGTCGGCGGACGAGGAAGCGGCCTTCCGCATGACCGTGGGCCGCGGCCATTTTAGTCGGTCGAAGAAGGACCGCTTCCTGAACCACCTCAGGCTGGAGAAGAGGCTCAACGAGATCAACGACAAGTTCTTCGACGTCGACTTCAGGGGCCACAGCCTTCCTCGTCGGCATTCCGGCGAGCTCAGGAAGATACTTTGAGTCTGGCTAGATAATTCGGGTCGAGATTCGCGATCTCCTGATCTTCATCTTGGCCGAGTCATGGCGGAAATTTCTCCCACTCGGAATCGGGGACGTGAAACGCTGGTCTATGTACTAACTGGGTAGCCGATGCCGTACAAAAGGACGTCTCGAAGCGACCACAGCGCCTCTGGTTGTGCGCGCAACTAATGTCGTAGTATCTGCGCATGCGTGAAAACAACGCGTCTTTTAACTGTAGATAGTACAACAAATGTAGAATCAGTTTATCAGATGAAATTGTCATTTTTATTACAATTTTTACGAGAAATATTTAAATTCCCGAGTCTATGTGTATATATTTACCGTGAAACTCTACAGCGTTTCTTAACATTCGCGAGAATTATGCACGTTAACTGGTATAGCGTTATATCTGCGCATGCGTCAAAACAACGCGTCTTTTAACTGTAGATAGTACAACAAATTTAGAATCAGTTTATCAGATGAAATTGTCATTTTTTTTACAATTTTTATCAGAAATATTAAAATTTTCGACTGTATGTGTATATATTTACCGTGAAACTCTACAGAGTTTCTTAACATTCGCGAAGATTATGGGCACGTCAATTGATATAGCGTTGTATCTGCGCATGCGTCAAAACAACTTGTCTTTTAACAGTCGATAGTACAAGAAGGGTGAAATTAATTTACTTAAAGGGAATAATTGCCATTTTTATTCAAACACGTACGAGGAAAAAAGATATAACAGTTTTGTTTTAGTGTAAGCTTTTTTAAAATACGCATGACGCGCCATTCTACGCGTAAATTATGTCTCTTCTGTCCTTCTATATAACTTAAACGTTTACTTTTGTGAATTCATGGTTAAAAATGTGTTGTTGCCGGGATTGACGGTTATAAACATTTGCGCATGCGCAGGAGTTACTTATTTAGTACCGCCGCTCATGTCTAGTGGCGCTGGGGTGTCTTGAGTTTGGCGAAGCCCTCCGTATAGAAGAAATAGGTATCAGGGGGTCTATTAAGTAAAGCAAATTGAGCGAAAATGTGAAAAGTGAACAGCTCACGGTATTACGGAACGTTTTTGGTGGTGAAAATGCGAGACCTTTCATGTGAATTGGCTCGGCAGAAATTTTTAAGCGAAGTGGTCAAGCATAGACTCGAGTCCTCTTCTTGTACGAAAACGACAGGTGCAGTATGCCATTCGGTACAATACCCAATTTAATTCGACCCAGTTGTCGATATAAAAACCAACGTCGGCAACGTAGGCATTTAGAAAGATCTTCTTTATCGACGTCGATCAAGTTCCTCGACGTGTTTCACTTCACCTTAATATCAACTCCCATTCTTATGATGGTCGAATTATCATCCCTCAAAGTATTCCTCACTCCTTCTGACTCACCCTGTATATTAAAAATCAGTTTCCAAAAATCCTATCGGGGATCAATTCGGATTAGTAACTCGACTCGAGGTTTAAGTCGAGGGCGTAAATTCTAATTATTTAAAACGTGTATGTGTTCGCTACCGACCATTAAGGTGGTATGAAAGAAGTCATTCTATACATCACAGCGTCAAAATATTTATAAAACAATTCCCCACCGAATAATCATACACTTTAACACGTGATTATGGAGATCCTCGTGAAAATTCATTTTTCAAAAGCAATTTTTTCTTTTTTTATTTAGCCTAGACTAGAACCAAAATCACATTTTTTGTGAAAAATGAAATTTCACGGTCATCGCGTTCTCCTCTAAGACTTCCATAATCATGGGTTAGTTTCGAAATTTAATTTTTCGAAAATAATAACGTTTGTATTTATCTCGGACAAGAACCAAAAAATTTTTTTCGAAAAATCAAATTTTGTGAGTTTTAAAACCTTCATTAGGACTTCCATAAGCACGTACTAATGTTTAAAATTATTTGGTGCGCCCAGATTCGAGAAATGTTTTTTTTATAATTATTTTGACATTTTACATACATATATATAGAAGACCCTTTTATATCGCCTTAAGACATGTCAGATATTTAAGTAGTCATTAAGCCAGGATAATTAGTCGTCGTGCCGCTTTTCTTGGTATATATGTATTGTTTTGACTAGCAATATTAATTTTAGATTTATCGAGAACATCTTGAAGATCGAATGGGTGCATTCGGAGGAGAAAAGCGGTTACCGATGAGTTGGGAACATGTTGCGATTTTCTGTTCAGTGATCATAATATGGCGGCATCCAGTGTCGTGTAACCTAACCTCCTTATAGCACTGACTACTAATATAATTATATTAATTATATTAATTATATTAGCAGTCAGTGCTTACAGTACATGTACGTCGTGTATTATTTCAGCTACTTCATTACCTGAAGGATTTTGCACCTTTTCGTTACATACACCAACAACTTCTCTAGATGATATATTTTTAGAAAAATATTCGTAACAGAATGTAACGTCTGAAAAAAAACACTCACATGTTCATACTAACTTCATTATTTATTGATTATTAGTTTTTTGGTCTATACTAGGAAGATAGAATACATTAGATTAAGGTTAAATATACATTTCGAAATGACGTACCATTTTGTAACATTTTATGCACTTCTGCACTCTCTACTACATCGTACCGAAGACCGTTTACTTCATACATTTCACTGTAATAATTGATTTCATTTGCCATCCTTGCTTCTTTAACTGAATCTACACGGTTTGGATTTGAATTTGATCTACCCAACACGTTGAGCGCAGGTAGCGTAGAAAATTTGTGATACATAATATGGCGTCCGATCAGTAAACATGTTGAGTGAACGTATTCGGCAGAGCGCTAACCGATCACTCAACAGTTGTCTCCTCTGAATGCACCTAATGGTTGACAAAATGGCGGCTCTTCGGCTTAGAAGTAGAAGGGATAAGGTGATCTGGTTTTATATCTCGATTCGTGATTTCGTAGCCTCGTTTTAATTTAAATGTTTGTTTCTTAATAGCCGCGAAAAGGTTTTTGTATAGTTTAGAAAGTACATACGCAAAGCTGCCGGCCGGAAACGTGTCGTTACCACCGGAAGTCCCTAGGAAGTCCGTCCGTGGCGTTTTCAAGATGGCGGCCGTAAGAGGCGTCGCTGCGTAGTTACGAAGTCTTTTTCAACAACGCGCGAACTCGATTGTCGGTATCTCATTGTTGCGAGATGTGTGCATTCAACTGACCGAACTATTGTATTTATATTTTTGTTAATAAATGTTTCGCAGAATGTGGACTTTGACTTAATCCAGAGATGAGTTGGGAGATTGCTCATGAGCAAGTCGCGCGATTGCGTCCTATGCTGCCAAAAATTAAAACTCCCAGGTTTTCCATTTTGAATTTCGGTGTCACAATCCATGGAAGATGGCGCTCACGGCAATTATATTTCTATCTTTTCTTGTATGCTTCCCCATTTCGCTTAAAAATTTGTGCCGAGCCAGTTCACATGAATGGTCTCGCATTTTCACCCCCAAAAACATTCCGTAATACCGTAAACTCCTCATTTTTCACATTTTCGCTCAATTTAATTTACATAATAGACCCCCTTAAGGTGATCTGGGTCTTTATTACGTTTTTTTGACGAGAGCGCTCACTTCTCGCACTTTCATCTCACGTGGGTTTATTCGCCGAATTACTTATTCGCTATATGAATGGTCTCGCATTTTCACCACCAAAACGTCCGTAATAACGTATGCTACTCATTTTTCACATTTTCGCTCAATTTGCTTTACGTAATAGACCCCCTGGTTATAGTAATCCTTTCCTCTCTAGTTAAACGATTGGTCCATGGTAAATGTTAAGTTAGGTTATGTTGGTACCTGTTTTGTTATGTTCGCTATCGTTGATATAAACAAAATCGATAATTCTAAAATCGTGAAGATCCCCATTTTTAATGCAACATGAAAAATGGTAAATAAATGTTGCATTAAATCATGTAAAACGGAATGGTGCCCGACTAGAAACGTAACATTTCACAGGTAACCTAAAACTGCAACATTTATGCCATTGATAATGAAAGTTAATGATTTAAGCTCTTTTAGACATAACCTATTAAAGACATTACTGTAATGCGAACAATATTTTTGTATTTTATAGTGTTCTTTATAGTACGGTTAAAATATTGTTCGCATTTAATAGGTTATGTCTGCAAGACATTATTGTAGTGCAAACAATATTTCTTTAACCGATTGAAATGAATAACGTTACCTATATGATTTTTAGGGTTCCGTTAAAAAATCCAAAGTTACTTGAATCGTGGATTCAGGCAATTCCTGAGGAAATAAAGATTACAAAGTATGCGACGGTTTGCAGCCAGCATTTTACTTCCGACTCCTTCGAGGAGCATACGATGTTTAAAACCCGACTGAAACGTAATGCCGTTCCGTCCGTTTTTGGAGAATCTGTTATATCGCAGGTATACAATGTTTAATATTTGTTGCCGATGTATTAATTATAATGTTTGCATATCTTAAAGGGCCCACGCATGCATTGCACATATTCATTGGCCGACGAGCACAATTATGGCAGCATTTGCAAAGTCGCAGTGTTTAACAAGGTTCGTATTGATTTAATGGAACTCCCCCATTAAAACAATTGAAAATTAAATAGCTCTCATAAGTCAATAATGAAAATAACTAAACAGCGTAAGGTAAAAAAGATTGTAAGTTCTTTCGTAACACATGTTTGCGATGAAAAAGGAAATTTACTTTAACATGATTTAATACGTTTTCACCTTTGAAGAAACGGAACGAAGCATATTTTAAATAACGTTGATCATTGCAAACTATTGTAATAATAATTCTGTTTGCATCTAAGATGAGTTAATATATTTTAGGCTGTGAATTCTTCGTTTTGCCTGAACGAAACGAGTACATTAGAAGTACTCGAACCAGAAGAGGTTACGTGCGATGCATGTGGACAAATATTGTCGCACACTGTGAATACCATCGAGGAGAGACCAAAAGTTCGAATGAAAGATGTGGCGGTGGAAACCTTGCGACGTCTGTCAGGTCCTTCGGAGGAAGAACTGAAGTTGCGAAGAAAAGTTTGTTGTCTTCAGAGGAAGGTCAGTCGACAGAGGGAGAGAATAACTACGTTAGCAGAAATGCTACGCACATTGAAGAAGAGTTACACACGGAAGGCCAACATGGAGAAAGTGTTAAACAAACTAATGAAAAAGATCTAACGCTTCTCTTATAATCAAAATGTGAAGTTGAGATAAAATATGTATATTAGACGAATCGAAGGATATTTTTTCTCTGCTGTGACTTGTACGATAATATTCTTATATTCTTTCGTTACGCTTGAATGTTATGATTACCAAAAACCTATTATAACTTAACGTGAATTTATATATATATATATATATATTACAATTATCTTCTGCTGGTCGATGAAGTTTCTCGACGTGTTTCGCTTAACCTTAAAAGTTGTATATGAAATTGTCAATTTTGGATGTGAAAGTTGATCGTATGGACTCGAGAATAGAGTTCCAGATGGATAAAAAACAGTGAGGAGAAAAGTACCGCTTTCTGTATTTCATAGGAAAGGAAAAGCAAAAGCTGCTGGCTACAATTTCTCCGTCACGTCGAAGAGGCAATTGATGTTCAGTGCATTTAAAAAGTGTTGAAGATGTGGCTGATAACCAGTTGTGGTTAGTTTGTCGGCTACTCGCGCCAAGTACGACCGTAATTGGCAAAATGCATGGTACATTTGTTCCAAACTTCCATAATTTGGGTGAACATAACCTGTAGGGCCGAGGTTCCAGTTTCTGGAGCGCAGGCGGTTATGGAATTTAAGAATTATCTTGAAGACGTTGCATAGGTTGACTCGCATCTTCTCCCCGCGTTGGTTTAGCATGCATCTAAAACAACATAAAAATTCATTATTCATAAATATCGCCTTTGAGGCTTCAAAATATATACCAAAGATGAGCGGAGAGACGTTTCGCGCCATTGTTTGAAAGGGAGACACGCCCCCCTGGCGCCCTCTACGCCCTTTACACCTCTGTAAAAATTGGAACTACTTTCAAAGGGGTGAAATCTTCGCGATCGGTAAAACAGGGTATACGTGGGTGCCACTTCGTAATCTCAATCATCCACGCATAACAACTTTATTTGGTATTCGTAGTCTTCTTTCCCAACCTTGACCCTGATACTAAAAACGAAAAGGCGATAATTTCATTTTACTGATACTGTTCTGTATCTGAAATCTGCGGAGGGGTTTTCCTTTACCGATGGAGAACATTTCGCCCCTTTGAAAGTAGTTCCAATTTTTACAGAGGGGTAAAGGGCGTAGATGGCGCCAGGGGGCCGTGTCTCTCTTTCAAACAATGGCGCGAAACGTCTCGAAAATAAGCGTTATGTCTCCTTATACTATTTTATGGCCTTATATTATACTCCCGGCAGCCAAATTAATGTTGGAATCGTACTTTGACAAAATCTTCTTGAGGTAGACAACGTGCGCAGCGTGCACTTCGTCCAGGCTCGAGGCAGCTCCAAGATCCTTTTCGAATTCCGTCCAGCTGGCGTGTAAAACGCTGCACATCAGATAGCTGTGCACGGCGTTGCTGAACTGCACCATCGAGTGTCTGTAGAGCTGCAACTGAAGTCATTTTCAAATTAACTTTCACTGAAACGACATATGGAGTATGCGATTCAGTGCAATACGTAACATAATTCAACATAGCTGTCGATATAAATTCAAACATCGGTAACATAGGTATTCATAAGTCTTTTTTACCGACGTCGATCAAATTTCTCGACGTTTTTCACTTCGTCTTAACACTTTACCGACCGGAAACCTAATACGTAACATAATTCGACGTAGCTGTCGATATAAATTCAAACGTTGGTAATAAATATAAACGCTTTGTGCACCTTACTTGCAAAATTAAAAGCATTTCAGGTAATTTACGTAGGCAGGAAATGTTTCCATCACGTAGGATGGGAGTTCACTCGTTGTCCGTAAGTGGCGCTCGCGTCATTACATCAGTGACTCTAAATTTTGCAATTACAAATTATCGCCTGATAGTGTTTATCGCGATAAAAACATCACATTCTGTATATCATCCGCGGATTATCGATTTGCGTACCTTCATTGCAAAATTAAAAGAATTTCAGGTAATTTACGTAGTTAGGAAATGTTTCCATCACGTACGACCCTTAATTTTGCAATTACAAATTATCGTCTGATAGTGTTTATCGCGATAAAAGCATCACATTCTGTGTATCATCCGTGGATTATCGTTTCGATTTGCATACCTTCATTGCAAAATTAAAAGCATTTCAGGTAATTTACGTAGTTAGGAAATGTTTCCATCACGTACGACCCTTAATTTTGCAATTACAAATAATAGCCTGATAGTGTTTATCGCGATAAAAACATCACATTCTGTAAATCATGGATTATCGTGGATTATCGTTTCGATTTGCATACCTTCATTGCAAAATTAAAAGAATTTCAGGTAATTTACGTAGTTAGGAAATATTTCCATCACGTAGGATGGGAGTTCCCTCATTGTCCGCAAGGGGCGCTCGTATCGTTAGATCGGCGAAAATCTGAGATTCTGGGGTGGTTCCACATTGGCGTTACGTGTCCTTACACTACTTCATGCCATTAATTATGTATAATTACTTTATGATGTTGCTCAGAGTTGGCCGCGCTCTTAGGTAGCTTCAGTAGGTAAAAGTCTTCCTGCAAGACCCAGAGGACGCGGTTGACCGTCACCAGGAACTTGAAGACCTTGCTATACTGCGCTATGCTGCTCTCGTCGAGGACGACGTTCAACGGCCAAGATATCTTGTAGCTCAAGCAGAGGCAGTCTAATACGTTGGGGTTGGAGATCTGAAATTACCGAAAGTGTCGAGATAATTCCTAGGTGCTCACGAGTCACGTGTCGAAGTTTCAGATGGCTCGATCCAATATCTTTAAAAAAAAGTGTCTTATTCGACTGATTTAGAGGGGTTTCACTTCACCTTAAGCGTAGCGTGCGTTCCAGTTTGCTGTAAAAGGCGTAACAGAACTCGTCACGGTTTATACAGCGCTATCCTTGTTGCAAAAGGAGTCGAAAAGTCCTGTACCATTTTTTCCTACAGTGCATAAATTTCCTTTAATAACTAAATGAAGCACAGCCAATCAGTCGCTTTCTCCAACGGAAAGCACAGTGGCAGGGGCGCCGGGAAGGCTGCAACACCGCAGACAGCCAATCTGATTGGCTGTGCTTCATTTAATTATTACAGGAAATGTATGCACTGTAGAAAAAAATATGATAGGACTTTTCGTCTCCACTTTCAACAAGGATAGCGCTGTAAAAACCGCCGACCAATCAATCAATCGCTTTCTCCAATGGAAAGCACAGTGGCGGGGGCGCCGGGAAGGCTGCAACACCACAGACAGCCAATCTGATTGGCTGTGCTTCATTTAATTATTACAGCAAATGCATGCACTGTAGAACAAAATATTATAGGACTTTTCGTCTCCATTTTCAACAAGGATAGCGCTGTAAAAACCGCCGACCAATCAATCAATCGCTTTCTCCAACGGAAAGTACAGTGTCGGGGCGCCGGGAAGGCTGCAACACCGCAAACAGCCAATCTGATTGGCTGTGCTTCATTTAATTATTACAGGAAATTAATGCACTGTAGAAAAAAATATGATAGGACTTTTCGTCTCCTTTTTCAACAAGGATAGCGCTGTAAAAACCGCGACTACGAGTTCTGTTACACCCAGGATATTTCAGTGATCATTCCCCTCACCAGCAGCTGTTCGGGCACATGTGCAGCGTACAAACTCAATCTTTCATGATTTCTATGAGCGCCTCCGATGCCACGACTCAGTGCCCTGTCAAGGGCATTCGTCAAGGTCGCCGGGTTGCAGAGGTCGACCGGCGTGGCGACGACGTAGAGCCTCGAGAAAATGGAGTCGGTCAGACTCCTGGCGAACTCTCCGTTCAGGAGGAAGAAGAACTCCCGCAAGCTGTGGAGATGAGACACCATGTCGTGTTCTTCGGCGAAGTGCCTGATGAGCTCCCGGTTGGCAAGCCTGTTCTGCACTCGCAGAGGCATGCTGACGGACTTCTCCAGGTAGGCCCGAAGGCTGGAGTTGTCGAGGATCTCGACGTCCTCCAGGGTGAGTCTGGAATCGGCGGTGCTAAAAGGAATGTTGAAGTTCCCCGGCTCGTCGGCGACCCTTGAAGAGGTCAGCTCTTCCCTGGAGGTCCTGGACTCTTCGTCGCCTCGGAGAGTCCCGGGGGAGCTGGAGCTTTCTGGTGCCGAGGACCAGGTCGAGTCGGCCGTTGAGGACATCGGTGTCACCAGGTTCAGGTCCTCCTCCTCTCGGCGACGTCTACGCCAGGTTGGTCCTTGACTGGGCCACTCCAGAGCCTGCGACCTCCTCCTAGGACTGTTTAAGATGATATGAAAGGCGCTGAGAAATTTAATCTAGGTCGATTAATTAAAATTCATCTATACCCTTTTTGGTGGGAACGTCATTTTGAATACTCAAGTGGTAACATAAGCTGGCGCGTTCCGTTACCGACATTTATATTTATGTTGAAGTCTTTTACAGTCTACGTTGATAATTATACGAAATGAAGCGTTTCATTTGCCATTTTAGTAAAGTAATGATGGAGAGATTGACGTAAAACTGTCGAAATCTCGGGAATTCATTATTCTAACGACTGTTTAGGATCAACGTCGCCATCTGTGACGTTTAGCTACAACTAAATTTTTTTCGCTAAAAATACGTCTACTAACGTTTAAGATGATATGAAAGGCACTGAGAAATTTCATCCAATCCCGGGAATTCATTATTCTAATGACTGTTTAGGACCAGCGTCGCCATCTGTGACGTTTAGCTGCAAGTAAATTATTTTCTCTAAAAACATGTCTGCTAACGTTTAAGATGATATGAAAGGCGCTGAGAAATTTCATCCAGGTCGATTAATTAAAATTCATCTAAACCGTTTTTGGTGAGAGCGTCATTTTGAATACTCAAGTGGTAACATAAGCTGGCACGTCCCGTTACCGACATTTATATTTATGTTGAAGTCTTTAACAGTCTACGTTGATAATTATACGAACTAAAGGGTTCTATGTGTAATTTCGGAAAATTAATGATCTCTGCAGTCAATCAGGGTCTCAGAAACCACGAATCCAGGAGATTTCTGCAGTTTTACATCAATTTCTTAATAATTACTGTACGGAAACAACATATGGAGTGTGCCATTTAGTACAATACCCAATATAATCCGACGCAGCTGTCGATATAAATACAAACGTCGGCAAGGTAGGTATTTAGAAGAATCTTTTATACCGACGTCGATGAAATTTCTCGCCGCGTCTCGCTTGACCTTATATATGGAAACATCTTCACCTTCTCCCGCGACTCCTAGAGTCCGTTCTGAGTTCTTCAAGGTTCCCCTTCTCGACCATCGGCGAGGTCGGGCTGATTTCCGTCGAGAATGGGGAAATTACGTCGACGGGCGTCTTCAGCCTCGAGTCCGGGTTCTCCGGTTTAGGAACCTCCGAGAACATTGACTTCTCTTCCCTGTCGGACCTAAAGCTTGAAGTGGAACGCCTGAAGATGGCAGTGCCTTCCTTCCTGAAGAGGTCCTGCTTTGCAGGTTCCTTCTCCCGGACTCCAGCTCGAACTCTTGGAACCAGGTTCTTCCTTCTATCAGTCAGGTCGTAATCGATTGGAAGAGTTCCTTCTTCCAATCGAACATCCCGAATGTTCAGAGCCGCAGGTCGGGTTGGTTTCTTCAGGGTGACTTCGGGTTCCTTGTCGATCACAGTCTTGACCTTGCTGGAAGCCTCCACGTCTTCCGAGGGACTCTTCTTCGGCGACGTCGTCGTCTTGGCCACGTTGGTGATCTCTTTGTTCTCTTTGACCTCTTTTATCGACTCCTTTTCGGCAGGAGCGACTTTCTGGGCTTCTTCGGAGCTAGGTTCGACCTGGCTTTGCTTTTTAGAGATTTCCGGCACAGCTTCAGACGCAGTTTCAGAGATTTTTACTCCAGACGAAGGGGCTTCGTCCAGTTGCCATCGCTCTTGTGATGCCTTCATCGCCAGGACCCTCTTGTCGTATAATTCTAGTCTTTTTATGCGCCATGATGCGATCAGTCTTCTCGCGTCCACCTTCTTCTCCAGGTGAGAGAAACGGTCCAACAGCTTGCTCCTGGAAGATGGGACATTGTATTTATACGCGCTGGTGTATGGATTTGGTGCGATACTCTACCGAGGAAGATGTGACATTGTATTATCTCAGACTAGTTCATTTTACTTAAAAAGTTTTGTATTTATACGCGCTTATGTATGGATTTGGTGCGATACTCTACCGAGGTAGATGTGACATTGTATTATCTCAGACTAGTTCATTTTACTTAAAAAGCTTTGTATTTATACGCGTTTATGTATGGATTTGGTGCGATACTCTACTGAGGAAGATGTGACATTGTATTCTCTCGGAGATGAAAAATTGAGTTAGTTCATTTTACTTAGAAGGTTTTGTATTTATACGCGCTTGTATATGGATTTGGTGCGATACTCTACTGAAGAAGATGTGACATTGTATTCACACAGACATGAAAAATTGAGTTAGTTCATTTTACTTAGAAGGCTTAGCATATATATGCGCTTGTATATGTATTTGGTGCGACACTCTACTGAGCTTCTTGATCTAGTACCACTCATACATTTTGTAATCCGGAAACTCGGTAGAGTTTCGCGCCAAATACATTAACAAACATGCGCGATTCATTTATTTCGAAATTCCTACTCCCAAAAAACGAACCGATGAAAAGAATTATTATTATACTAGTCATGGCTTAATAAAATAATATATAAGCTAATAAGTAAATTAGCAAATGAACCAATAAAGCAAATTATTGTTTTACCATTCATGAAGGATCGAAGTAGTATATAAGCTAATACATATAACTAAATATCTTGTGATGTATGGAAAAAATAATAATACGTATAGTTCAATAAATTAGCCAATAAATAAATAAAAAAACAGTTGCCATCGCATAATCAATCCTAAAATATATGGACATTCGAATTTCTGTTCATCGGAAACATCATTTGGAATGTTACGTACTTTGCATTATTGATGGCATCGATTGCTTCCTCCTGAACAATCTCTACTTCAGGAAGGACATTTTTTATCGGATCATCAATAATATCTCTTTGTTGTAAATTTTCCTCCTCATCCTTTACATTTATCAGCACTTCTTGGTCATCCGATTCAATCTTCTCGATGGGTTCTTCCTCCACTGCTATCGGAGACTCTGTACATAATAAATTATTGCAACAGAATTAAAAACACAGGTCATCATTTTTTAAACACCAGAAAGTCTATTCTTACTCGCTAAGAAAAAATTCATCGAATCTAAGAAACATTTTCTTAATTACAAGAATTATTATTTCACTCGAATGAATTCTCGTAATCCTGAATAAACATTGCATTCAATTTATTCGAGTACATCTGTGTTACGTAGTTATTCTTTAAGTTAATGAAATACTTCTTTGGTACTTAGAAATATTTCTCTGGTTCGATGACCTTTTTTCCTCGATGCATGAAATGCATCGTACCTTTTCGAGCTTCGGGCACAACTTGAGATTCTTTCTCATCATCATTGATTCTCTTATCATCGATAACTGGACTTGGCTGTAAAACAGTCTCAACTTTTTCAACGTATCTGCGATAATACAATTCTTGTTCTCTCAATTGCTTTACGCTGAGACAAACTTTCACATTAGGATGGATCGTAGAGACTACGCTCCACAATGGATTCTGGAAGAAAAGTAAAATAAAAAAAATACTAGTTTGTATTATAACTGGACATTTGTTTACGAAAAATAAAAATAAAAATTGGGTGCACCAATTCGTTTCAAAATATTCCGCCAAGTGTCCTAAAATATACGAACAGTATTATAAATCGATGACATACCTTTGGATCGCAAACTCTGAGGAGCTTAATAGTCTTTCCGCACTGCAAAATGGAGTCTATAAGAGTCTCCAGAAATCCTGGCACAGACTGCACATTTATGCCGAAAGCCTTCGTCCAGAATTTATAACCTCTCTGGCGCAGATAATGTGGCTGGACGTTGATCATAAATTCTCCATAAATATCGTCGCAGTTCCCCTCGAAGAGCCACTTCTCCAGGAACCTAAAAATGACAATTTAGTTCATCACAAGGAATATTTCATACTTCAATTTTGCGGATACACTTTAGTAATAATTATAAAACAAAGATGGACCGATACGTCTAAAATTTTAATGCATAGTAATAAGGGCGCTAGAATCGTTCCAGACACCGAAGAAAATCCATTTACTGAGAAAAATTTGTTATTTAGCGTAGACCAGATGGATTTAATACAATACCCAATATAATTCGACACAAATGTCACTATAAACTCGAACGTCGGTGATGTAGGTATTTAGAAGAATCTTTTTACCAAATTTCTCTACGTCTTTCACTTCACCTTAAGTAACATGGAAATACTTTGGGAAGGAAGTGAAGTTTTTTATACATCTACTTACCGGAAATAGACTTCGCAGCAGGAAGTCAATATTGAGTAATAGATGAAAGCGACGTTCGGTTTAGTGACTTTTGTAACTTTTTCGTAGATATGCGTAAGCAAGTCCGTTCCTTCTTGGCTTTTGCATCGACAGAGACCATCAATCTCAACGAGCAAGACTCCCATTGGTCGCACTCTCTCGATTGTTTGCAACAATCCCAACGAAGAGTCGACACAAGTTGAAGTACGTAGGACGGTGGCTTGGTGATGCATTAATACTTCTCGAATAGTATTGGACATCGCCTGCAAACTATTCATACGTCTCATTACCCAAATAATAATTTCCAAGGTTAGATCGAAAATTCACCGATGTAGGAAACTTATTTTGAGGTTTAAACAAATAGGTTCCTATTCTTTTCACCTTGAATATAAGACCTTCTTGCTGCAGCTTTCCAGTCTGTGGATCTGGTGTAATTAAACCCGTCAAGTTCTTGTAAGCATTCCCCCAGTAAATGGCTTCCTCACAGACATGTTTCAAAACATCGTCTCCGATCATGGGACTTAATGTATTTTTAACGAGCTTGAATCCTGACTGAAATAAATCATTCAAATTACTTTCTGCCCGATTCTGTCTGTATGATTGTTAATGAAAAGGAATATACTCTGATCTACTTACCACAGATTCATGAACAAAGGAATCGGAGTTTACTCCTACGAGAAGTAACTTGACATGCTCCGAGAACTGCTCAAGTGAAATCTCTTTTGTTGGGTGTGGACATTCAACCACCTGAAATTGAAACCTGGGTGTAATCAATAACGTAATAATATCACCTTAAGGTGATATGAAAGTGTTATGTACACGTACCAAAAAGTTAAAATATTTATAACACTTTTCCTCAAACTGGTTCGCTTCGATTTAATTATGAACAATTCTAGCTGAATGAGTCTAGCTCGTCATTGTAGCGCAAGAGGTTAATAAAAAATTGATGTTACCAGGATTCTTATTGTTTGATAATAATACAATTTTTAATTCAAATGTGTTTAGAGAAACTTACTGCATGGACTTCTCGCAAGGGAAGCAAAGTAATGTTCACTTCGGAGAGAAATGGTGGTTGCTTCGAGACCTCTGACCCTCCGAGAGACTCCCACACTTGATAGTTCGGAAGGGAATTAATAGATAAGTCCCAAGTTTCTGAGAGTACTTCGCTGACAAGTACACGATGTGAAATCTGTGTGTGGGTGCTCTCCGAGTTACTTAAAACCTCCGACGGTTCTGTTTGTTATGCAAAGAGAGGTTATAAACTAGACCGAATAAATGATTTTCAAATTATACAGATTATACAATAGGGATGTGCGATCCGATGGTATGTAAAAGTATTAATACTTTATTTTCTGATACTAGATATTTTGTATCGATACTTTCAGTATCGATGTATTCAGTATCAATACTTTCAAATACATTACATTATCAAGACATTATGTTATAATCAGGATATTTTTATGGAATAGACATCCCTATTATATATAATAATACTATGCGTACCTGTTAAGAAATCATTTTGCACCATTTGAGGTATCGTCTGGAAGTAGAAGAAATATTAATCAGTGGAGAATGGCAATGACTTACCATATCAATTTCATAAATAATGTTTCTTACCGAGACCGATGGAAACGGATAACATGGAAACTCAAGTTCTTTCATTATGGGAAGCTCCGCAGGATATGTTGGTTGTACATTGCAAAGAACTCCAAGCATGGAGTTCTTCCTAAATGTTTATACACAAAGCATTAATAAATTAGTGTACTTTAGGTAATTTCTAACTCAAAGAATTATTACGATTAAAGGGGCATTCGTTTTCGAAAAAAAAATTGACATAGAATACTCAATTGATTAATGTGATAGCAACAAACTTTCTGATTACGAAAGAATTCATTTCATTCATTTCATATGAATAGAAATTCTGAAATCGAGCACCATGAACACCCAAAAGCTTGACTAGATGTAGAAAAAAATTATTTAATTCCATTATTCCTCATTTAAAAATTTAAAAATTCAACTGAAAGACCTCACGATCAGATTCCAAAAATTCCACGTTATTTGTATTTTTTTTTCAACGAGAAAAAAAATTCATACATTATAAAATATTCGATTTTTGGGCACTCAAAGGCGAATACCCCCTTGAAATATTCTTTACCTCATAGACTCAATGTTAGTAATTGTAGCAGGTCCAATTTGATTAAATGCGGAGTATCTTTTTCTTTGCTCCAAATAGCGTTTTTGCATTATGCACTTCCGTTGGCATCCAAGTAGGGTTTCAAAATGCTCCGACAGATGAAATGCTTCAATCGGATAAGCTTGTAACGAAACAAAGTCATTTTTACGTGGCAACGTTTTTGGTACAAATTGATTTCTTCTGCTACGCCGAAAGATATTCTGTGAAATAAAGGATTTGTTCATCGTACAACATACAAGAATACTGAATGTAATTTAACATCAATTCACAATTAACACATTAAGCACATTATTAAGCATAAAATTTTGAAAATACAAATTATTGCAAGACTTTTTAGCCAACCCAATATTTTAGAAGAAATCCTATGGACGAACATACTAGGTTAGGTTCTTGTTGTGGCTCGGTACTTTTCAATCCAATTAAGAACCGCAACGTTGCTAAATCTTCTTGACTGATCTCGAAGTTCGGATCCACCAGGACACTTGTCAATCCATCCAATTCCATGGCTTCGGACAAGAGACCTTTCCCAACTTTTAAAACGAAGATGTGCTTCAATAACTCTGCTATCGGATCCACACATGCAAATATGATATCTTTGTCATTTCCTGAAGAAACAAAAGATTCTTTTACCATTAATTTCATCAATTGAACATGAACGGTGAGTTGATCGATATATGTTTTGAATATAGATTACTGTTTACTCGACGGAAACAGTTTAGTTGGTCATGATAAAAATTGCTCATATAAGAAACTATTATTGCAGCGACCCTAAAAGCTCGATAAACTAGCGAAGAGAATAATAAATAAATTAATACACCAGTAAATAAACAGAAAACTATTGAAATGTCCATGGTGCTTTAAACGATCAAAAGACGCTGTCCCTAAATATATAAGCAAGGCGCAGCATTACTTGCATCGAACATCTTAATAATTGCTCATACTTACTCTTCTCCAAAACATGATCCTGTTTATTAAGGAGAATGGCATAAGCCTTCGATCTGAGTTTCTTAACATTCGCATTGCTCCTGACATGGACATGTGGATTTTCCTCGTTAAGCGAATATTTTCCAAGAGAGCAAATGCACAGTTCAGTTATCAAGCCGTAAATATTGCCACTTTTAATATCGGGACCCATGACACCTCTTGGAACTTTCGATTTGAAACCGTAAAACCATTCCAAGCTGTCACTTGGTGCAGTCTATTACAAAGTGGCGACTCGACCTAACCTGAAAAAGTAACCACTCAATGCAGTATGGTTAAATTCAGTTCTGTTTATTCTAGGAATCGATTCCGTAACTTTTGCGAGAGTGCTCACTTCTCGGACTGTCATCTCACGTGCGTTTATTCACCCGACTCTCCAAGTGAAAATGTGAAATCTCCAGACTGAAGGAACAAGGAACTGAACTTGGTTCTAGGGGATCGATTCTGTAATTCGAATCTAGTGAAAATTCTAAAAGTGAACATTTCCATGATTCCGTAACATTTACTATGGTAAAAATGTGAAATACTTCGCGTGACAACTCGAGTAGAAACTCCGAAATCTCGAACCAAGTTCCGTCAATCTAGAGATTTCACATTTTCACTCGGAGAACTGGGTGAATAAAGTCACGTGAGATGACACTGCTGTTGTTTTATGTACCCAACCCTGTGCAGGTGGCGCGCAGGTGCGCGAACTGGCTGCGCGTGACGCGTTCCAATATGGCGGCGCCGGCGAAGCGTCCGCTGGCAATCGATATGCCCCGCCACGTCAAAATCAAGCCGACCAGCAGTAACGTCCTCGCGGGTCTCTCGTCGTGAAAGAAATTATCTGAAGAAAGGAAAACCCCTTCCATAGAGATGCTCGAGGACCACGAACTGTTCAAGCAGCTCTGCGAAAAGCGCGGCGTTCTAGTGCCGCCCGAACTCTCGGAAGCGATCAAAGTTGGCAAGTGAGTCTCTTGAAGTTAGTGTTGCCAACTTCAGTTTTCTTTACTCTAGTACAGTCCCACCAAGCACACTATGTTACCGTTACATAACACTGGAATAACATGGTTCATAACGAATGTTATTCACATTAATATCATATAACGTCGAATTATTATCGTTCCATAACATTGTTACAAACTTGTTGGCATTGCAGTTATACAATATTAACATACATAACATAACATAACATGTTATGTATACGTTACATTATTCGTTTCATACCAGTGCTATATAGCTATGGACAAAATAGTAATACAAATCTTATTTATATATTATGTGTATGTTACATTACATATTACAAAACGTTATGTAACAATGATATTCTTGTTACATAACACTGGAATAACATGACACATAACGAATGTTATTCAAAAAATATAATAATATCATAACGTCGAATTATTACCGTTCGGTAATGTTGTCACAAATTTGTTAGCATTGCAGTTGTACAATATTAACATAACATAACATGTTACGTATATGTTATATTATTCGTTTCATAAAAAGTCTATATAGCTGCATAGGAAATAGTAATACAAATCTTACTTATATGTTATATGTATGTTACGTTACACATTACAAAGTTATGTAACAATGATATTATTGTTACATAACACTGGAATAACATGGTACATAACGAATGTTATTCACATTAATAACATAACATGTTACGTATACGTTACATTATTCGTTTCATACCAGGGCTATATAGCTACGGACAAAATAGTAATACAAATCTTACTTATATATTATATGTATGTTACATTACATATTACAAATGTTATGTAACGGTTATATTATTGTTACGTGTTCGTGTTTGGTGGGGTCGAATTAAAATAATAGTGCAATCCGGTATAATGGAGAAAATAATAGCAGGAATTAAAGTGAAGTGAAACACGTCGAGGATCTTGCATAAACTCGGAGTGAAAATTTAGTTGACCTGGAAATCACAGATGGCGCAGGGGGTCCCTCTGCAGTCAATTAGGGCCTCAAAAACCATGTCTCCAGGGGATTTATGGAGTTTTACTTCAATTTCATTATAATTATTGTACAAAAAGGACAGGTGGAGTATGCCATTTAGTACAATACTGAATATAATTCGACACAGCTGTCGATACAAATACCAACATCGGCAACATAGGTATTTAGAAGAATCTTGCTTACCGACGTCGATTGAGTTCCTCGCTGTGTTTCACTTCACCTTATTTGGAGCGAAGAAGGCGTTACGTGCCCAAGAATTAGTAAAACCTGGTCCATTTCAGCGCAACTGGGGAACTCCGTTTGTCCTGCATGTCGATAATGGTTCCTGTCTGCGAGATCCTGGGTCAAGTATTGTCTTCAAGTTCCACAATCAAGATCGTAGACCTGAGCGACTGCATGCTGTTATCAAAAGGTCTAGGAAGCATCCTGAGCGCCCTCTGCGAAGGCTCCAGTGTGACGACCTTAAACCTAAAAGGGAACAACATAAACGGCCCAATAGTTGGTCAGTTAGGCCAGGTCTTCGCCCAGAACAACACCCTGAAGAAGCTGCACCTAGAATGGAACAGCGTGGGAGCACACGCGGATTGGTTCCTGAAGTTCTGCGAGGGGCTCGGGAAGAACCATAACCTAGAAGAGCTGGACCTGAGGTACAACCAGATATCCCCGCATTGTTCTGAAGGTGTTTCCAGGATCCTGAGGTGCAACAAGTCCTTGAAGAGCCTGGACCTGGCCTGGAACACGTTGGGCCTCCAAGGAGGGGAGCAAATCCTGAACGCCATGAGAGAGAATAAAGCATTGTTGAAGATAAACCTGAGGGGAAACTGCATCCCTGATGAGATAGTCCAGGCAATCGAGGAGTGCGCCTTCGAGAATCAAAGAAGAAGAGCTATGACCGAGACGAACCTCTCAAAGGGGGTTGGAGTTGCGAAGAGTCTGAGTTTTGAGTAAGTTTTAGGTTAAGGACAATGGATTAGATTATACCTATCACTTGGTACGTGTACTAACGGCGTGGATTTGTTAAACCGTCTGTGTAAACGATCGTGTATCGGCTTGGGACGGTATGTTTGAAAAGGGAGTATCGTACCATGAGTTTTGAGTAAGTTTTAAGATAATAACAATGGCTTAGTTTACACCCATCACTTGGTACGCGTACTAAAGGCGTGGATTTGTTAAACTGTCGGTGTAAACGATCATGTATTAACTTGGGAGGGTATACTTGAAAAGGGACAATCGTATCATGAGTTTCGAGTAAGTTTTAAGATAAGGACAATGGCTTAGTTTACACCCATCACTTGGCACGCGTACTAAAGGCGTGGATTTGTTAAACCGCCGGTGTAAACGATCGTGTACCAACTTGGGACGGTACTCCCGAAAAGGGAGTATACGAAATACACAAACGTCTACATCCCAGAAACACTCCAATAAGCGTGTTAATTTTATTTGTGGATTCCAGGTTGACACAGCCTAACAATTCAACAATGTTGAAAAGATTCCGTGCCTGACATTCTCCTCAATTTCAGGAAAGAACGAAGGCCTGACTCGGAATCGGACGAATCCAGCCGGCCAAAAGCGAAGGTATTCAAGAAGAAGAAGAGAAGAATCCCCAGAGAGAGAAGCAAAGCGCCCATCCTGGACATGTCCGTCACCGAAGATTCCCAAAACGGGAGCTCTGAGTCCCAGGGTTTCGGAGTAATCCCGAAAATGCCGGACTTGGAACCAAAAACCGCCTTGCCAGTGGATACGCTGATCGACGACCAGGACTTGAAAGTCGCCGAGGTGAGCGGGAAGTTCAAAGAGTTAAATCAGATGCTGCAGGATCGCACTGCTGCGATTAATCTGCTGACAAACGAAGTCGCCGTAAAAATGGCGGAAGTCGACGCGGCGAGATCTCAAGCAAACCAGCTGATGACGGAGAATGTCAGATTGAAGGAGGAGCGAGAAAAGGTGGAGGCTGAGAAGGCGAAGGAGGTCAACGAGCTGAAGAGGTGCCACGCGGAGGCCGAGGAGAACTGGCAGAAGGTTTGCAAGGACCTGGAGGAGAATTTCGAGAGGACGATGCTGATGAAGAAGGAAGCCGAGGCCAAGTGTCGGAGATACGAGAGGGACATTCATAAAAGCTCATTGGAGCTGATCGCCCTGAAGGAGAAGCTGCTCACCACGACGCAGACTTATGAGGAAGTCGTTTCCAACAATAAGACCGAGATACATAGGTATATACATATTATATACGTATATTCAACGTACGTCCCTCAATTTACGAGCTACGTAGGTGTACATATCTTATATCCGTTCTTCCCTTAAGAGGATATCAAAGGCGCTGAGAAATTTAATCGACGTCGATAAAGTAAAGTTCTTCTATACTCTCTTTGGTGGTAATGCCGTTTTGAATATTCAAGTGGTAACATTTTCATCAGTTTTAATGTATTTTACGTAAAAAATCTGGAGTGACGCGTCACTGCAGAACCCTGGCGGCAATCGCGAGTACTTTTCTGTGTAGCTTTTCCTATTTTACGTAAAAAACCTCGAATGACGCGTTACTGCGCCACCCTAGCGGCAATCGCGAGTACTTTTCGGAGTAGTTTTTCCTATTTTACGTAAAAAAAAAAAAAAAAAAAAAACGAATGACGCGTTACTGCAGAACCCTGGCGGCAATCGCGAGTACTTATCGGAGTAGTTTTTCCTATTTTACGTAAAAAACCTCGAATGACGCGTTATCCCGCAACCCTGGTGGCAATTGCCAGTACTTTTCGGAGTAGTTTTTCCTATTTTACGTAATAAACCTCGATTGACGCGTCACTGCAAAACTCTGGCGGCAGTCGCGAGTACTTTTCGGAGTAGTTTTACCTATTTTACGTAAAAAACCTCGAAGGACGCGTTACTGCGCCATCCTAGCAACAATCGCGAGTACTTTTTCCTATTTTACGTAAAAAATCTCGATTGACGCGTCAATGCAGAACTCTGGCGGCAATCGCGAGTACTTTTAGGAGTGGTTTTTCCTATTTTACGTAAAAAACCTCGAATGACGCGTTACTGCGCCACCCTAGCGGCAATCGCGAGTACTTTTCGGAGTAGTTTTTCCTATTTTACGTAAAAAATCTCGATTGACGCGTTACTGCGGAACCCTGGCGGCAATCGCGAGTACTTTTCGGAGTAGTTTTTCCTATTTTACGTAAAAAACCTCAAATGATGCGTTACTGCGCCACCCTAGCGGCAGTCGCGAGTACTTATCGGACTAGTTTTCCTCCTAATCGGCAAATAGGTCCCCGAAGAAAGGATTCTAAAAAAATGATTCCACCTTCCAGATTGCGCAGAGAGCTGAAGGAACGGGAAAACCGGCACAAGATCGAGCTGAACGTGCTGAAGAGCACGTTGAAGGACATGACTCAAGCCCTGGAAGAGTGCCAGTCCCAGTTACAAAAAAGCAGAGCCGAGCTGCGAGAAGTTACCGACAACCAAAACATCCTGAAGACGAGACTCATGGAAATGGAGCACATCACCCTGAGATGCTCCAGATCCGAAGAGTCGCTCCAAAAGGTGAAGGAGGAAAGGGACATTCTAGAAGAGAAGCTGAACGACACCCAGAGAGCGGTTGGGATGCTGCAGAGACAAGTGACGTCATTGCAGAGCGAGCTTATAGAGCCGCAAAGGAGGTACGACTTGCTCAAGGAAGAACTGGAGCAGGAGAAGCAGAAGACCAGCAGACTGAAGCAGGAGCTGCAGGAAGAACGAGCCAGGACGAAGGAACAAAACCTCCAGATACAGAAAATGGGACTGCAAATCACGGCCCTTAATGCTCAGATTAATGAGATTCAGAACAATCACGCGGAAGCTTTAAGGGAAAGAGACAAGGAGAGGAAACAGCTGAAGGAGATGATCGCCCATAAGGAGAGGGACCTTAACGAATTGAAGTCAGTTGTTAGTTGTACTTGGCGCGAGACTCTGTTAAGGTGATATCAAAGGGTCATTCTATATACACAAATGTTATATATATATCCTAAAACGTCAAAATGTTCATAAAACATTTCTATTCTTTTTTTTTTTGTTGATAGTTTCCAACTATTCGGTGCACCCAGTTTGGAGAAAAGTTTCATAAATATTTAGATGTATAGAATGACTCNGCACCCAGCTTGGAGGAAAGTTATATAAATATTTTCACGCTTTAGTATATACTGAATGACCCTTTCATATCACTTTAATTGTTTTAAGGAATCTTACGACAGTACATTTTTTTTAGGGCAGAAGAGGTGCAACGTGCGGGGCAGCTTTATGCAGCTTTCAGCAAATATTTGGGATCCATAGGACCTAATCCAGTTTTGTGACATTATTCTTCAACAACGAAGCCTAGCTTAATGCCGCGGACCCTTTGTAAATACGTTTTCTACTTTTGTATACCGATTTATCGTTGTTGATATATTTATTTTTTCTAGTAAATTCAGTAAGAAGCTTTAGAATGTTGTATGAATAGTTTAAGGCACTAGTTTATACTTTACGGAGTATTATTACATATCTGGGGAGGGAATCCCAGAAATGTGGAAACTCTCCCTGGATCGCAGCGCCACTCAGGGTGAACTAAAAGATCACAAGTGTCCTTGTCGGAAGCAAATAGATGTTAAGCGAGAGAAAGAGAGATACAAGATATCTGTGGTTCGTGTCCAGGCTTTTACTCACCTACAATTTTCTGTTAAGGTGATACGTATGTAAGTGTGTATATTTGGCGCAAAACTCTACCGACTTTCCTGACGAGAAAGTGCCGACAAAAAGGTCTTGTTTATGAAGCTTTTCCAAATTAGGTTTACTGAAGTTGCAGCTAAACGTCACAGGTGGCGACGTTGATCCTAAACAATCGTCAAAATAATGAATATATAGGATTTCGACAACTTTACATCAATCTCTACATCATTACTTTACTAAAATGGCATATGAAACGCTTCATTTCGTATAATTATCAACGTAGACTGTAAAAGACTTCAACAAAAATATAAACGTTGGTAACGGGACGCGCCAGGTTATGTTACCACTTGAGTATTCAAAATGGCGTTCCCACCAAAAAGAGATGAATTTCAATTTATCGACCTGCATTAAATTTCACAACGCCTTTCATATCATCTTAAACGTAAGCAGACGTATTTTTAGAGAAAAAAATGTAGTTGCAGGTAAACGTCACAGATGGCGACGTTAGTCCTAAACAGTCGTTAGAATAATGAATATCCAGGATTTCGAAAATTTTACATCAATCTCTTCATCATTACTTTACCGAAATGGCGTATGGAACTCTTCATTTCGTATAATTCTCAACGTAGACTGTAAAAGACTTAAACATACATATAAATGTCGGTAACGGGACACGCCAGGTTATGTTACCACTTGAGTATTCAAAATGGCGTTCCCACCAAAAAGAGATGAATTTCAATTTATCGACCTGCATTAAATTTCACAACGCCTTTCATATCATCTTAAACGTTAGCAGACGTATTTTTAGAGAAATAAATTTAGTTGCAGCTAAACATCACAGATGGCGACGTTGGTCCTAAACAGTCGTTAGAATAATAAATACCCAGGATTTGGACAGTTTTACATTGATCTTTTCGTCATTACTTTACTAAAATGGCATATGAAACGCTTCATTTCGTATAATTCTCAACGTAGACTGTAAAAGACTTAATATAAATATAAACGTTAAATATAATTACGTTAATAATAAGTTATGTTACCACTTGAGTATTCAAAATGGCGTTACCACGAAAAACGATATAGATGAATTTGATTTAAAAACGTCGATTAAACTACTCAGCGCCTTTCCTATCACCTTAATCATTAAACGTAGCACGTGGGAGGTTATTTCTCATTTTTTTTCGCAATTCGAAAAGAGCGAAGAGACAAGAATGTGCGTGCCTTGTGGTTTCGGAGACGCATTTTGTGCGTCTTGCTTATTTAGCAGGATTTCGGCGTTGTTTGGAGGTGCAGCTCGCCTCGAAGTTCTGTAAACAGAAGAGGAATGATATTTCGAGGGAATCGCACGTAGGCACACTGTCATACCGAGTTGCGAAAGTAAACATGTTTGCGTTTACGACTCGCTCACGTCTCGTTAACAACTATCAACGACAATCAAAAGCGATCCTTGAACCGAGCCTATCTTCGCTAACGCAAAACATTGACAATTCACGTGCGTGACTTCCCCGAAAATACATCTGTTAAGGTGAAGTGAAACACGTCGAGGAACTTGATCGACGTCGATAAAGAAGATTTTTCTAAATGCCTACGTTGCCGACGTTGGTTTTTATATCGACAGCTGGGTCGAATTATATTGGGTATTGTACCAAATGGCATACTCCACCTGTCGTTTTCGTACAATAAATATCAAGAAATCCAAGTAAAACTCCAGAAATCCTCTGGATTCGTGCTTTCTGGGGCCCTAATTGACTGTAGAGGGACCCCCTGCGCCATCTGTGATTTCTGAGTCAACTAAATGTTCACTCCAAGACCTCGTATTACCATCGCTTTAGTATAGCAGCGCATAAAACGCTTTTTTTTCTGGATTCATACTTCTGAGGCTCTAATTGACTGCAGAGAGACCCCCTGCGCCATCTGTGATCTCCAGGTCAACTAAATTTTCACTCCGAGACCTCGTATTCCCATCGTTTTGGTATAGAAGCGTATACAACACTTTTTTTGCCTTTATCCCGTTCAAATGCGAGTTTATCGATCACCAGAGTGTTCTAAATTGTCGTACAATTGTCAATAGAGTCAAGAGAGGCTGATTACCAGATAAATCGCTTCCTTTCATCAGAAGTCGCCGATTGCAGAATGAATTCTCGGACACCGGGAACTCGGGAGCATAGCAGTTTTCCACGTTAGCATGATACGTGGAACAACGATATTGTTGGATTCCCGCGATTCCCATAATGCGCCATTATGTCGCCTTCGTGGTAATTCAGGGGGGCGTGATGGCTGTTCTAAGTATTTATCGAGGCGTTTATCAAAACGTCCCGAGGTTGTTCTCCCAAAAATTCCAGGAATCGAGCGGAGATGAAGAACGAACCGATGTATGTGCCATCTAGCGACTGAACACCAAACCTAACAGTTACGTAACTTAAAACTAACAAATAACATAACGTTTCTTACAATGGCATAACCTAACAGTTACGTAACTTAAAACTAACAAATAACATAACGTTTGTTAGAATATAATAACCTAACAGTCACGTAACTTAAAACTAACAAATAACGTAACGTTTGTTACAATGTAATAACCTAACACTTACGATGTTATTTTTTAGTTTTAAGTTACGTAACTGTTAGGGTATTACATTATAACAAACGTTATGTTACTTGTTAGTTTTAAGTTATGTAACTGTTAGGTTATTATATTGGAACAAACGTTATGTTATTTGTTAGTTTTAAGTTACGTAAATGTTTGGTTTTTACATTGTAACAAACGTTATGTTATTTGTTAGTTTTAAGTTACGTAAGTGTTAGGTTATTACATTATAACAAACGTTATGTTATCTGTTAGTTTTAAGTTACGTAACTGTTAGGTTATGCCATTGTAACAAACGTTATGCTATTTGTTAGTTTCAAGTTGTTACAATGTAATAATCTAACAGTTACGTAACTTAAAACTAACAAATAACATAACGTTTGTTGCAATATAATAACCTAACAGTTACGTAACTTAAACCTAATAAGTAACATAACGTTTGTTACAATGTAATAACCTAACAGTTACGTAACTTAAAACTAACAAATAACATAACTTTTGTTACAATGTAATAACCTAACAGTTACGTAACTTAAAACTAACAAATAACATAACGTTTGTTACAATGCAATAACCTAACAGTTCATGCTACATAATATATATATATATCNACGATACGTTCACGATATTGCGGAACGTTTTTGGTGGTGAAAATGCGAGACCATTCATATGAACTGGCTCGACACAAATTTTTAAGCGAAATGGGATATATATATATCATAACATATAATTATGGCATTATATAATTATAGCATACCATGTTATGCTTTGACTTACCGTTTACCGATTCCAATATGGCGTCGTGTTACCACCTGCGAGATACATAATTTTTTATATATTTTTGCAGGACTCCTACTCGCGGTATAAAATGTTTCTTGAATACTTCCGACGTGAGAGATTTCGAAAAAAAATATGAAAGTTCAGTTCCATTAAAAAACTAAGACCCTATTAATATGCAATGTCGGCAAAAAGGAGCATGACTGATTTTCTCGAGTATTTCTCAATCTACAATTATAATAGTTCTCAATGTGGATGTTACTATTACTTACTTGTAGTTGTTGAGGATAAATTTTGCGACAACCCAGTTCCAGGAATCGAGAGTCCGCCGTCTTTCTCTGTGCGCAATTGTCCCCAGGACATTTGCGGTGCACCGGTGCGTATTACCGCTGACAACTGGTCATTGGCTCCAGCTTTTTGCCGATTTTCATGCTTTCTCATTTGCAGTGTCCCCAGCCGAGAAAAACGGAACGCGGCAAACGAGAGCGCCTTTAACGGTCCCCCCGGCGTTTATTGCCGATTCCTGGAAACGCCTCGTTAAAAATTAAATCGAAAACTTCTTTCCCATTTTTTTCAAGGACGAGTGGTTCCCGAGATATCGAAGAACAAAGCTGACCAATCGCGCGATGGCTCCAAGGGAAAGTTTAGTTGCGGCTAAACGCCACAGATGGCGACGTTGGTACATTGGAGTATCAATTTACATGTACTATATTAGAAGTTCAACGATATAATTTTTTTATCGTGTCGTGTAAGCATGAATTATTTAACAGTTTTCAATGTTTAATAATGTAACATAACCTCGCAGTAACAAAAACTAACCTGTACATCCTAGTAAATTCTCTTTCTTCTAACGAAAATGGGTCCGAGGCATCACGTAATTCCCTTCTTCTTCTAATAAGGTTATCATTACGTCCCCGAATACGATCGTTGGCAAAAATCAAAACACCCAGGAGGTTTTCCATTTTGAATTTCGGTGTCACGATCCGTGGAAGATGGCGTTCACGGCGCTTATTTTTCTACCTTTTCTTGTATGCTTCCCCATTTCGCTTAAAAATTTGTGCCGAGCCAATTCATACGAATGGTCTCGCATTTTCACCCCCAAAAACGTTCCGTAATATCGTGAGCTATTCATTTTTCACATTTTCGCTCAATTTGCTGTACGTAATAGACCTCCTGATATACGTGAAAAACCACGAAAAAGAATTACACAACTCTGATCTGCGGACTCCTTAATTGAAAACGTAATTTACTGTTTTTTCATGATTTTTTACGGTAAACTATTTGATTTACGTAATATAGGTGAAAAACGCGAAATTATCAACTAACCCTAATGTACGGTATCCTCCATATTGGAAACGTAATTTACTGATTTACTTTGATTTTTTAGGTAAACTATTTGGTATTAATTAATATATGTGAAAAACCTCGAAAGTCTCTACATTACCCAATCCTAATGTACAGTATCCTCCATATTGGAAACATAATTTACTGTTTTTTTTTAACGGTAAACTACTTGATTACGTAATATATGTGAAAAACGCGAAATTACCAACTAACCCTAATGTACGGTATCCTCCATATTGGAAACGTGATTTACTGTTTTTCTATGATTTTTTAGGTAAACTATTTGGTTTTAATTAATATATGTGAAAAACCTCGAAAGTCTCTACATTACCTAACCCTAATGTACAGTATCCTCTATATTGGAAACATAATTTACTGTTTTGTTTTAACGGTAAACTACTTGATTTACGTAATATATGTGAAAAACGCGAAA